ACAGAGAATGCGGTGCTTTAGAAGCTGCGGATACACTATTAGGGAATCCCTTGTACGGTACGGATAATGATACCATGGTCAAATGGATCGATGTTAATGAGGTGAGAGAAATAGAAAAGTTAAAACATTTAATGAAATTTAAGCTCTCGATGAAAATTCTACGAATATTTACTGTTCGTCACTCATCGATGATTACTATCCAAATAGACCTCAGGAATTAGAATCATTGAATTTGTACGATTTTGCCAGATTCTGGGAAATTACGAAACAGATGTCAAATAATGACGAAGTCAAGTGTTACAAACTGGCATCGGGTTTATTTTTAAAAAAACGAAAAAAGGGTTATTTAATTAACCATTATCGATTTAATATAAAAACTGAGCCCGAAAAATACTTTTACTCGCTGCTTCTTCTGTTCAAACCATGGAGAGATTTGAGTGAACTCAAAGGTACATTCGAGACTTACACGGATGCCTTTAAGAATTCAGAGTCTGTTTTAACGAAAGTAATGAAATATCACGAAAGGCTCGAAGAAATACAGAAAGCTTTTGAGAACGTTGCTGAATTAATCGAGAAGCGCGAAAATGATCTGAAAACAGCAGACAGAGACAAATCCGATGACGATGAACTGGATTGTAATCCGATAGAAGCTGACGACGCGATGAAAGATCTGGAAGATTTTGGTAAGATTGACGACCCGATTGATTTATCGCAAATGATGTCGCAATTGAACAAAGACCAGAAAAGAGTCTTTGATGGAGTATGCCAAGTTTTACAAGATAAGAATCAGATTCTGCGACTGTACGTAAGTGGCGAGGGTGGTACAGGGAAAAGTTTCTAATTGAAACGATTAAACATTGGATCAGAATAAATTTGGAAAAAACGACTGCCATATCTGCTCCACGGGTATCGCAGCATTCAATATCGATGGCTTGACAATCCATAGAATGTTTCAACTACCGGTTAGTCATGAATCTACACCAAAATATACGCAATTGTCAGACATGGTCTTGAAAACTTTGAGAGACAAATTAAAGAATGTCGAATTATTTATAATCGAAGGAATTACATGTAACAATGCAATGATGGATTTAGGAACGACTGTATTCAGTGATGGTCAAGCCTATGTAGGTTTGTCACGAGTAAGTAAATTGGAAGGCCTACATTTGATAAATTTCAATCCAGCATCAGTTAAAGCAAACTCGAGAGCCATTGTAGAATATAATCGACTGAGATCTATATTCAAATCTGAACTGCCACAAATCAATCCGTCCGAGAAAAGGTTGTGAAAATGTACGATCGTCGATGGGATATCCCTAATATCATTGATGATATGCAGAATTATGATTGTGAGGAACCAGAAAGTATAGTTACGTGGAAAAATATATGGCCTTTGCAATAACGATGCTGTTTCGTGTTACGCTAATGTAATATTACAATGTGCGTTTCATTGCGTACGTATTAGGCAACAAATACTGAAAAATAAAGCATCGAATGCATTGACTGATGCTATCTGCGCGTATGGTGAACGTAAATATTGCAACATTCAAGCGGTTAGAAGATCTGTCGGAAAACGCTTCGAAGAACGAACACAACAAGATGTTTCGGAATTTTTTACGGCTCTAATGTCGACGTATTCCGACATCAATGATGTATTAAAACTCGAATTAAAGCACGTAACATGTTGCTCGAATGTCAAATGTAATTACAATGTAACTAAGCTGGAAAGCAGTAGTTTGTTAATATTACCTATACATTCGACATTAAAAAGGAAAAAAGGTGTCACTCTACAAAGTTTGATTAATGTAGAATTTTCTAAATGGGAAACGATAAACGGCAATTGTAACGAATGTAAGGGCACCGTGTTGAAAAAGAAAACCGTAATCGAATCAACTTTATCCGTCGTAGTAATACAGCTCAATTTATATACTTTTGTAAACGGTGCTTCTAAAAAAATTATCAACAATCGGATTACCGCCGTGCCGACGAGTAATATCACGATTAATAAAAAAAGTACAAGCTAATAAGCGCTATATTTCACGAAGGTGAAGAAATGAATCGTGGTCACTACACGTGTATGTTGAGAGCTGACACAAAATCGGAATGGTATTACTCTAATGATATGGAAGTGTTCAAGAAAAAATGGCCCAAAGGAGCACAAGGGGCATACATATTGTTCTTAGAACAGATTAAATAATGGCGCTGTATAAAGGCTGCCGTAAACGCTACATTAAAACATCAACTGTTCTAGCGCTGTATAAAAGTTGCCGTAAGCGCCAAAATAAAATATCGGCTGCTCTGGCGCTTTATAAAAGCTGCTGTAAGCGCTGCATTAAAACGAGTGCAATAAGTTTCTAATTTGACCTAGGCTTCATGACATTTCAAAAAGTATCATCAAGAAAAAAATTATCAGACAGAAATATGTATGTCGTGTTAAAATCGGAGAGACGAAGAAAAATATATGGTTGCGTTCTCACGAGAATGGGCGATGGAGGGGCCCATTCTTTATTTTCAATATTCATACAAGAATATAAATTCATTCTGTTGCAATTGAAATAAATGTGCAATGTATCGTTAAAAGTTATTACAATTATACAAACATTTACATATATGATTAAATAAAATATATATGTATACTATAATATAATATATATTTATATATGTACATATATACCATATATTTCAATTATTTTGAACTGTATTGCATAAATTGTTACTTATACAAAGTTATGTGATAAGAATCGAAAATACATATATTTGTAATACTTGAATTACTAAAAGCTGCTCTATATATCTGTACTTTAAAAAGTAAGTGATATCCTAAAAAAATCATAAAAATGAAAAGGTCAGGCCATGTTCAAAAGAAGGTACTCAAAAATTTAAACGATCTAATAATAAATTATCACGAAAAGTAACTGATATGTTATTCAAGGTGCCAGTTCAAAGTGAACATACGTAAAGTGTATATTATCTAAATTTAGTAATAATATATTACCATGAAAAGTAACTGTGATATTTTATTCAAGGTGCAAGTTCACATTGAATATACATACATATAAGTAAAACTGATTACAATTTGATTCTAGAAAATAAGTGCGATATGTTATTCTTAGTGCACAAAATATAATAGTCGTTTATAGAGATTTGATTTGAAATTCATACTAGCCCGTACAATGAAAAATAATTGCTCGTAATTCCAGAGTACCAATTTGTTAATGACTCAGAAAAATAACATGGCGGCCTGCTCTCAAAAACTATGATGTTTCTCGATGTCCATTTAGAATAATGTCAAAGCTCTTACGAATAATTACTACAACATTTGAGATAACTTATTGTAGTGCGTATAACTTTATTGTAGTTGACCGCTGAGAACTGTACATTTAAAATTTTTACTTAATATACACCCGTTTACTACCGTTTTAATTACAATTTACTAAGAAAGATTGGAGGTTTTTAATTTATACCAAATTTTCACAACTCTTATTTCAATATTTATTCTACCCATCGAACGTTTTTTGAGAGCAGGCCGCCATGTTATTTTTCTGAGTCAATAACAAATTGGTACTATGGAAAAAAATTATACGAGAATTTATTTTTTTTCATTGTACGGGCTAGTATGAATTTCAAATCAAATCTCTATAAACGAATATTATATTTTGTGCACTAAGAATAACATATCGCACTTATTTTCTAGAATCAATTGTAATCAGTTTTACTTATATGTATGTAATTCAATGTGAACTTGCACCTTGAATAAAATATCACAGTTACTTTTTCATGGTAATATATTATTACTAAATTTAGATAATATACACTTTACGTTATGTTCACTTTGAACTGGCACTTGAATAACATATCAGTTACTTTTCGTGATAATTTATTATAGATCGTTTAAATTTTTGAGTACCTTCTTTTGAACATGGCCTGACCTTTTCATTTTTATGATTTTTTTAGGATAATATTATTTCAACTTTAAGTGATGCTATGAAATTACTTAATAAAGATTATTTTATGTATATAAATCTCATTATAATTTTTTTATATGTCCTATTGAATTAGATTTTTTGAATAATAATATGATTTGGTATTTCCTTAAATTACTAATATTTATTTTTTAAATTATTCTATTTTGTAATAATGTTTTTTTTTTATAACTAATAGAGGTATGTTATAATTTTTATGGGATATTCAGCTATTCGATTATTCAATAATAGGGGCCCATACGATCAGTTTCACAAAATTATCATATGAAGTAAGATTTATTTAATTATTTAGTAATATGTTATTTTATTAGTAATATAAACTTATGTATTTTATATAGTAAGATAGAGTTTAGGATGTTATTCTTTTTGCTTTTATTAATTATCAATTTTTTATGATATATAGTAGTTTTAATCCTTTGTTTATTATAGTTGTATTAACATTTAGCTGAATTAAATCGAAATAAGTAATTTAGATTTTATCGAAAGTGAGTCAGATGATTAATATTGCATATTTTAGGTCTGGGTTTACATTAACTTTTTATCTGAATATGTAAATAATATTTTTTTTAGATTAATTAGAATTTATATTATTTAGGATTTATTAAAATATTCAATAATTTAACTTTTTTTGAATTTAATATTTTACTTAGAATAATAAGAATTTTGATAACATGGATACTCCTCGGAATAAAATATGATAAATTAATATATTTATTTGGAAAATTATTTTACCAATAATTTTGGTTTATATTTTATTCCAATCAATTCAATTCAATACTTTATTNGACATGTGGAGCGTGGGGCGGTATGAAATGCCAATTGATTTCATTATCTCGCATAAAACGCCGTATCGCAAACTGCGTGTCGTCGTCGTTGATCAAGTCATACAACTCCTTTATTTGTTTGCGCGCGCCGACAAACGTAGTGCCGTTATCTGAATATACACATGCCGGCTTGCCTCTACGCGATATAAAACGTTTTTAAGGCGCCAAGGAACGCTTCCGATGTTAAATCGGTTTACAATTTCGAGATGTACGGCCCTGGTCGAGAACAAACGAACACCGACATATACGCCTTGTGTAATTGTGCATTACGTCTCTTGCCCTCTTTCAAGAGTATGGGTCCGGCATAATCTACGCCACTATGCGTGAACGGTCTCGAAGCCGTCACGCGTTGCGCGGGCAAATCTGCCATTAATGCTTGCGATACAGCCGGCTTACACTTGAAGCAGGTTACGCAATTGTGAATTGTTTTTCGGACAGCCGAACGCGCCGCCAGAGGCCAAAATCGTCGACGCACCGCATGCATTGTGGCCTGTAGGCCTGAATGCAAATTTTTTACATGCTCTCGCTGTATGATTAAGGTTGTCAATCGGTGACTCTTCGGCAATAGCATGGGATGTCGCGCGTCGTATGGCAATGCTGCATTGCTTATTCGGCCCCCCACTCTAATGATCTCGTGTTCATCCATAAACGGAGTCAATGAGAGAATCCGACTTCCGCCGTCAACGTTCCGACCCTCGGTCAACTGTTTATGTTCTCTTGAAAAGGCATGTCTCTGTACGCACCTCACCGCGACTCGCAGAGCTACTGTTATTTCGTGATGCGAAATAAACGTTGTCTGATATTTGATCGTACGCGAACGCGCTACTCTCAGGCAGTAAGCGATGATTCGCAATGCCCTGTCTAAATTGAAATGTTTGTCCAACAAATTTAGTACGATCGATTGTTGTATGGATATCACCGCTGCGGTTACCCTTTTTTGTTCCGGTAACTCGCCCGACAAGTCGACACACAATTTGACCGGCCAATGTTCCTCAGTTAACTGCAGGAATGCAGGTCCGTTCCACCAAATTGTCGATTGCATTAAGCCCGCCAGGTCGACGCCGCGCGATAATATATCCGCGGGATTGTGAGCGGACGGCACGTGCCGCCAACTCGATCTCCTGGTAAGGCGCTGAATTTCGCCGACGCGATTGGCCACGAAAGCGTTCCATTTACGCGACGGCGACGATATCCATTGTATAGTAATTGTGGAATCCGTCCATAAAATTATCTCTGATTTCGATAAATCAACCGATGCGCGAATCTTCTCGATTAAATGTGATAGCAATAACGCGGCATTCAATTCTAGCCGCGGTAACGAAACTGCTCTAATTGGTGCTATTCGTGATTTGGAAATTAAAAGTTCCACCCGGTATCCGTCGGAATCGCGCGTTCTTATGTATACGCACGCGCCGTACGCACGCTCGCTCGCGTCACAAAAGCCGTGTACCTGTGATTTGCGCGCGTCCGCCCGAAATCCGACAAAACGCGGCACACGTAATTCGCGAAGGCGCGTCAATTGTTGTTTTACGTTCCGCCATCGCTGATGCAAATCTTGCGGCAACGATTCGTCCCACCCAACGCGAGCCTGCCACGTATCTTGCATGATCATTTTTGCCACAACTGTCAGTGGCATAATAATAATAAACCCAAAGGGTCGAAGACTCGCGATTTCCGACAAGATCGTCCGCTTCGTTATGCTACCCGTCGGTGCGCCGCAATTGTATCCGAAGCGAAATCCGTCGCTGGACGGATCCCATGCGACTTCCAATATTTTCGAGCTCGCTTCATCGCCTAATGACACCTCCGCACTCGTGTCACTAATGCCCTGTAACAATTCTCGGCAATTCGATGACCATTTGCCGAGCTCAAACTGTCCGCGCCTTAACAAGGCTATCACCTCGTCACGAATGCGCCCTGCTTCGGACAATGTATTGGCGCCCGCGAGTAAGTCATCTACATAAAAATCCCGAAGAACGCATTGTGCCCCCGCAGGATAATCGAGGGCATGTTTTTGTGCCAAATGTTGAAGGCATCTCGTCGCGAGAAATGGCGCGAGCCCGTGCCGTAAGTAACGGTAAGCAACTCATAAGTACCGACTGGCGAATTCGAGTTCTCGCGCCACAATATTCGTTGCAGATGTAGCTGTGACTCATGAATAAGTATCTGTCGATACATTTTAACTATGTCTGCAGTAAAAACGTACGCGAACGTGCGAAAACGAGTGAGAATTGATATCAAATCCTGCTGAACCGTAGGACCTATCATCAAGGCGTCATTCAAAAAAATTCCCGACGTGGTTTTGCACGATGTGTCAAAAACCACACGTAACTTCGCATTCCGGCCGATCCCCTTAAACACCCCATGATGAGGCAGATAAACGGATTCCCTATCGACCGCATGTGCGGGTACGAGTCGCATGTGTCGCAAGGCTAAATACTCGCGCAAAAATTGAACATATGAAGTTCTCATACTTGAGTCACGATGAAGTCGCTTCTCAAGACCGAGGAATCGCTTCGTTGCTATTTCGCGCGAGTCTCCCAGCTTTTGCAAAATATCGTTTTTGATGGGCAGCGTCACGATGTATCTGCCCTTGTTATTGGTTGACACGTTGTTTTGAAATGGGTTTCACATGCGCGCTCGTCCTTGGTGTAATGATTCGAATCGCCTAACTCCTCGATCCGCCAAAATCGTTCGATTTGTTCGTAAAGTTTTAAATTGCTAATTGATACGTGAAACGAGTGCAGCCCAGTCTCCGGTCGCGATGCACCAACGCGTGCGCGTCCGCCCACAATCCACCCCAAACGTGTTTTTTGAAGGATTAGATATCCGGAAGTCGCCTGAATCTGCTCCACGCACAACAATTGCCAAAATAGATCGGCGCCTATTAACAAGTCGACGTCAGACGACACGTTGAATCGCGGATCCGCCAACTCGACGCCGAAAGGCAGTTTGAATGTTTCACGTTTAATAGTGTTTAACGGAAGCTTGTCCTTTATGATTCGCTCCGCCACGATGCACTCGATCTCAGCCGCGAATGAATTGAATCGCGATTGCAGTTTGATGTCTACGTTTTCGTTTGAAATGGATGTGTCGTCGTATATGCCCGACACCGAGAAATTTACGGATTGCGGTTTTAAACCCAACAATTTTACATATTTGGTTGTCACGAAATTCACCTGTGACCCTGAATCTAACAGAGCACGGCATGTCTTGCGAGCACTGTTCGCATCGTATATGTAAACGATTGCCGTCGAGAGTAACACCTCCGTATCGCCTCGCTCGACCGCGCTATGAGTCGCGACGGCCGATCGCCCGTCCGCGACCGGTGACGAGTCGGTCGGCACCGACGGCGCGCCCGCGTTATTTATCTCTCTCTCATTTTTGGATATATGCAATAACGTGTTATGTTTTAAATTGCACGTTCTGCAACTGCCAGAAGGGCATTTGGTTGCTATGTGATTCTGGCTGCGCAAGCAGTTGAGGCACATTCTTTTGCTACGCATTTCCGCGATTCGCTGGCTGATCGGCAGTTTCAGGAATTCCTTACAAAAGTAAATTAAATGCTCGCCGGCGCAATAGTTGCACTTGCCCCTCTCGATAGTCGTGTGCAATGCTTGACGTCCAACGTTAGAACGCGATTGCGATCGAGAGTCGGAGCGAACGGACGAGATTGAACTCTTTCTCGCGGATTCCTCCAGAATCTGACTGCGATGCGAAAGAAAGGTAATTAGCTCCTTAAATGTGGGCAATTCAAAGCCCTGCAACGAAGCATGCCACTCACGCGACGTGATTGTGTCTAATTTAGACGTTATAATATGAATAAGCAAAGCATCCTATTTATCAGCATTACAATTTAATGCCGTTAACGCGCGAATATGTATCGATGCCCCGTCAGCTAATTGCCGAAGGTCGATCGCGTTTTCTTTTGTTATAACTGGCAATTCAAATATTGCCCGCACATGAGTTTGTATAATCACGCGTTTGTTATCGTATCGCTCCTTTAAGAGGCTCCACGCAAGGTCATAATTGTTTCCAGAAATTTCTAAAGGTTTCATAATGTCAAGTGCCTTGTCCGTTAACGCTGCCCGTAAATATTGAAACCGTTGAACATCGCTCAACGACGTGTTATTTTGAATTATTGTTATAAAGGTATCTTGAAACGGGAACCAATCTTCGTATTTTCCCGAAAAAGTTGGCAAATTAATTTTTGGCAAGCGTACATGAGATATAGCCTCGATCTCGACTCTTGTTGAACTCTGCGTGGAACCTCTCCGCGCGCTCGATTGATTGTCGCATTGTAAAAGTCGGCGAAATTTCGCACATAATGCATAAAATGAATCCTCGAACTCGATTCTATCGTTTGCCTCCTCCGCGTCGATCATTTCAATTTGTGTTTGTATTTTACAATAATCTTCCCAGAACGATTCTAGACGGGCTTGACGGATTTCTACCTGCGCTCGGGTATTGTCGGTTAATGCGACTATATTGTTTAAAAAAGTCTCCATGCGCGTGCATGAGCCCTTAACAATTTCGCGTCGTCGTTTGTAATCGGCTAAATTGGATGATGCACGAAGCGTCTCTGCGCTGGACACGTCCGCCGCTGGGCTATGATCGAGAGGCATAATTTCAAAATCGCGTGATCCAAACTCGAATACGTTAACGATTGATTGGTGCAGATAAACAGACTCACCAGTCACGTCGTCACCTTACTTGCGTCAATGTGCCACGTTACTGCTCGGGATGCTGCTCCGAATCCGGAATCGTCCTCAGCGATCCGCGATTATGTATCGCAATGCAACCCGACGCCCGGCAGCATGCGCCTTATTCACTTCCTTCCTGGTCAAATTGTCTGCCTTGTAGACGAACGAACGTCCTCATGCCCGCTTTGCTTCGACCTTATCACTCGTCGCTTGTGTACATTGCTTCTCCAGAATAATACATCCGGCTCGAAGGACCAACTTTTGTACGAGAAATGATGTGATCTCGTATGCGTGATGCGAGTATTTTGATGTCCGTAATGCTCGTAATTGTATCGTCTCGCCAAATTGTGATGTGACGGGGAAATCCACGTAACATATGCAATCAAATTTAATTCTCAAGATCGAGATTTATTGTTACGGTGCCGAGTAGATCGATGTACAATGTTCGTGCGTTCGCTCGCCTGTTGTTGTGAATGTCTTGTTTGTTATTCGCGCGACGGTTGGAAACGAAGTGATTTCACGGACACATCGATGGAGATCATCGAGGCTCATTTCCCCACTCGTCCGTGTTTTCGGAATACGCCGAATTTCGCCGAGATAAGACGAGAAGGAAAACAGTGACATCACCGCGATCGGAGTCTGCCGTCAATCATATAGGTCGTGTATCGAACACCTATTACTTGCATATTCGAAGAATTCATTTCGTTAGGAACTTCCTGGCCCCTCATGTCGACATGGGGATTCGCATGTACTGCAACGTCTTTTCCTGTGCTGAAACGCCAAGTTCGGACAGGGGAGCGTTCAATTTAAAGATTCTCCAAGTTTAACTAATAAAATGGTAAAAATCGGTATCAGAAGAGTTAATTATTCGCACTTAGGGGCGTTCATTAACTCACGGTAAAGTTGGGCGCCAGGCGCATGTGAATGCGCCACGAGACTAATGTGACCGGTCCTTAAGTTAACTTCCCCAGATGTTATACAGAGTCGCGGGTCTAGAGGATTGTTGGGTCTATGGTTGAGAGAGAGGTATAGAGAGACATACACGTGGTGTTATAATTTGACAGATATATATATTTGACACTTAGGATTTACAATTTGACATCGGATACATACAATTGGATAATATAATTATGTAACAAACAGTAATATATAAACTAGCGGTAGGGAAACAAAAATATAATATAAAAATCTGCGAATATCGGTATTTCGGTATTGATCTACAAAATTTTTATTAATTATACAATATGAAACATCTTAGATAATTTCGCGACAATTGTATGCGAACGGGATAAACAAAGACAAAATCGGTAAACGTTATGATGGTCTAACTTATTTTTGCGGGCACGCGTTATAGACAGAGGTCACAATACGATACTCCGAGACACGGCACAGTATGCAAAAAAAAGATAACAACTAGATGACGGTAATTTCGTGACTCTTTCGCCCGACTTTCTCGCCGAGTCGAAAACAATGAAATAGTTAACAAACTCGCGGAGACGGCTACACGCAAATTCCGAAAATCTAATAATCGAGCCTATAAAAAAAAACGTGACTCTGAATATCTCGGTAATCCGAATTTATAATAATTACTCTCGAGACGATGGACTGTCGGCGGCACTTTTCGGAGAGGGCTCGGCTCGCGAAACGCAAAGTCGGCTGGCCCCGCGATACGATACTCTAAAAACGAAAAGAGAGAGTCCGCTCTCTCACACACAAAACAATACGAAAAATGAGAGAGTGCGGTACTCACGGTAATTACGATACACAATCAATATCTACGGTACCAACCAACACGGATCTACGACTACTCGAGAGGCGGCTTACAGTTTCTGGTGACGAGTTCTGGTCCTCGGGTCGCACGTGTGGAAGTTCTGGAGGCCCCCTCTCTGGCCTAAGGCACACCGAACAGTGGAGAGCCGGGCCTCGCGCGTCTCGGTACCTTCTTTTTCGCGCCGATTTCTTGCGCATTCCCTTGATGATAGGGTCGATGGCGGGGGCCCTAAGGTCTCCCCCGCCTCCCCCTTTAGCTGAGGTAATTCTCACGCCGGTAACGTATCGCTGTTTGAGAGGATTTTCCTCCGGGTTTCTTCTCGCGGCATCTCTCCTTCGGGAACAAGCGGGAGGCTGGCCGGGCCCTCCGTAGTCCCCCTTCAGGATCGGCCCTGTGGTTGATTTGGCTCCCGGAGTCCTCTCGGTATCTATAATGTTTTCAACGCCTAAATTCTGCGCGAGATATATCAAAGTAAATTACGGATTCTTGATACTTAACTGCGCGAGGTCCCGCGCTCTCTATCTCCTACGCTCGCTCCATCCTTCTTTCGCGCTGCGGCATTCTCCTTCTCTCTCTTGCTGCGGCACTCCGGCATCCTCCCTCTCTCTCTTGCTTCACATGTCTCTCTCCGGCCGCTCTCTCGAGCCGTCCTTGTCGCTCTACCTACAAATCGTGTTGCACGCGCATCGACAGGCCGATGCTGCGTGCAACTGCGATTCTCGCAAGAAATACGGTAAAACGGAATACGGAAAAACGACGGATCGCACCCCCCCCCCCCCCGAAGTGAGGGGCGCTCCAGATCTCCGCGGCCTACCCGATCGGGCTTTTCGCCCTTGTGACGGCGCTCCAAAAGCGTCACGTCACAGTACAGACGAATTTGTGGCAAGAGATTCGTTGTGCCCGTAATCATACGTCGACTCGCGATTCGTCGCCAAATTAAGGGGACCATTTGCACGTTCTCCGGATACGAGATGGGTTCTGGCACTACATTTTCATTGGCACCGTTCATTTTGACATCGGCATTGGTACCTTCGTCGACAACTTCCATAGCATCGGTATCGTTAGAGAGAATTATAACTTCATCGGCAACTTCCATGGCATCGGTATCGTTAGAGAGAGTTATAACTTCATAGATAATTTGGACATCGGTATTTGTACTGCCAGCTGACATTGTTATCTTCAATAGTAATTACTTCGATCTTGGGTTTGTTCGTCATTTCCGCCACAATTTTGCACTCGTCGTCACTCGTCTGACTGTCATCAAGTGTGTAATCCATGATTCTATTGATGTTAACGTCGTACAACTCACGATAAATCTCGTTTCTCTAAATCTGGGATTTCCGGGCATTCGTCGCGTGCCTGCTCCTTGTGCGTGCAATGTCAGCTAATCAAAGTGACAAAGAGTGGAAGCCGATGATCCAATGATCGCCTTAAAGAGACCTTGCTATACCGCTGCTACCGTATCGTTGTTATACTGCTGACTGAAAAAATTCAAACTTACTTAAAGACCTGCCGTCTCAATCGAGTATCGAGAAATGGGACAGCACGTGGCTATGTGTAAAAATCACTGAGTAGCTAATTGCCGAACCAATGGTTTGATCCCTCGACTGTCAGCGGCCCCACATATTTCTTTAACAATAGGAGCGGACGTTTTGAGAAATTCGCAAAGAATTAAGTGCTTAAGCCGGCAAAGGGCAAATTTAAAAGACTGCAAACAAATGGAAGAATTATGAGATATTTACATTAGAAATCGTCGTTTTGAATAAACGAAAAATTTAATTTAAAAAAGATAGCTAGTTTTCTATTCCTGATGAACTACACGAAAGAACCCGAAAGAACGAGGCACGAACGCGAAAGAACGAACCCGAAAGAACGAGAATGAATAGTAAAAATAACAACAAGCAACATAGTTTGGAAAGACGACAATTGGTAAACGAGTTGCATGCGTCAACGAGAAAAAATTTCCCTCGAAGACATGTCATAGTGCGAGGATACGATGATCTGTGGCAAGCCGACATTGTTGAGATGCGTCCGTACTCACGTTTCAACAAAGGTTACCACTACATATTCACTGTCATCGATGTGTTGAGCAAGTATGCGTGGGCTGTACCACTCAAGAGTAAAGGAGGAAGCGAGACAGCTGATGCAATCGCCAAGATAATTCGGAATAGCAAGAGATCCTCGAAAAAAATGCAAACTGATAACGGGAAGGAATTTTACAACGCTGATGTGCAACGACTTATGCAAAGACATGACATTAATCAATATTCTACATATTCGGTATTGAAGGCGTCGGTCGTCGAGCGATTCAATCGCACGCTAAAAAACGACATGTGGAAGATGTTTACGCTGAATGGCACTTACAAGTGGTTCAACATGCTGCCACGCCTCGTATCAGATTACAACGGACGCAAGCATCGAACGATTGGTATGCGACCTGCCGACGTTACCCCCGCGATCGCCGAAAGACTCTTGGCTACCGTGTACAATCGTGTAAAAATCGCGGGCGCGGCAAAGTTCAAAGTAGGTGATCAGGTACGCGTCAGCAAGTACAAACAACTTTTCGAGAAGGAATACACACCAAATTGGACAACCGAGGTGTTTAAGATTGTTAAAGTGCAGCATACTAATCCCGTAACATATCTACTCGAGAATTATCGCAAAACATCTATCGCTGGAGCGTTTTACGAGCACGAGCTGCATTGCGCAAATTATCCGGATGTGTACCTCGTGAAGAAAATACTGCGCAGGAGGGGTGACGAGGTTTACGTGAAATGGTTGGGATTCGACAGTTTGCACAACTCTTGGATACATAAAAACAATGTTATTTAATGTATTTTATTCAATCATTTTATAACATACTATATATTGTATACCATATATGAAATATATAACAAAAAATATATATAATCCTCATTAATACATCTTTACAATATAATATAAATATAATAAATATAATAAATATAATAAATATAATTTACAACGGTATTCGATAATGTCCCCATGGCAAGGTGTCGGTCGAATCAGGTACGACATACCGCTTGTCGTCGTAGAAACATAGAGCAATTTTTGTCTCGCTGATGGTATACACTTTATGCAATTTCGATCTTATACATGACTGCTGACGCGTCATTTCAATTTCTTCATTAAG